TAAACGAGGATAAGAATTTGGGAAAACAAAAACTATCCAACTGGTCATCATTTCATTCCGTAGTCAACGAAAAGAATGTTACAGATGTAGGTCAGAAAACAAAGAACGATTTTTCTGTGAGGCTGCAACGACAACATGGTTAATGTATGGATTCTTTCAATCCCAATATGTACCATTATGAATGTAATGGGACTTTTTAACAAGATACCCAGACGTGGGTGTAGTCAGGATCATTGATCATACAACCAACCAAAATTCAAGCAAAATCTTCTACGTGAGAAGAAGAAACACTTGCTTGGCTATCAACTCGACATCCGGCTGCAGAGACGACGTTTGACGAAATACTTTTAAAATCCAATCTCAACCTATCCGGCATTTTTCTGCTTCGATTTAAATACTTATTGTACCCAGACTATGATTTTTAGTATTAAATGACTGGCGAGATGTAAACATTTAGTGTAAAAGTGATGGCGGAATTATTGTAATACTATGCATTATCTATGAAATCTTAATTTTAAATATCGACTAATTGAATTCTAAAATGAATGGTATAAAAAATTATTCTGAATTGAAGTTTTCAAATCAAATGTTTTCCCCCTCTCAGCTAAGGTCAATTAATTTGTAACGGAAGAAAAGGTCCTTGAAATTCTATCTTTTTAATTAAAAAGATTACTTTTTCCTCCGCTATAAGATATGTTGGACTTAAACAATTTATTTAAAAAAAAACTACAATTTGAAATACAAGACGAAGATTTCATGTCACAGAAAATTTTCATACAAGAAAGAAGTAGATGACGACCAGTCACACCAAAAGTTTGCTCTTTGTTATGATTGTGCAATCGGAGAAATCCGTAGACAATTAAGTGTCATGTGATGGTCTATCGCAAAGTCTGAAAAAAATTAGTCTCTATGGTTTCTTTTATTTTTTACCAAGAAATATGAAGACACGTCTACCTAATATAATTCCCGCTCTAAGCTCCATTTTATAAAGACGAAGCTGAGAAAATAGGGCCACCAAATATATAAGAAAATGGATCAGCTGCCATGGAGGATAAAGCTTCTCCTGTAGACTAGTCACATCCACGTTTTTCCCGGACAAGATTGGGGAAAACGGGAAAAATCTGTAGACAATTAAGTCTGTGAATTGTGACCTAACAATTAATAAAAAAACTGTCAAAATATATATACGCCTTAACTATACTTATAATCAGAATTTTTTCTGGGAAATATATCCAAACACGAAACTATTTTGGTTTCTTTTATTGAGTTCAAATATTGATTATTGATAAAATGTCGTGATATATCTAGTTCAACTGAAGTTCATATCAAGAATTTTTTTATTTAGAAAATATTACATAAACTTTGCTTCATATGAAAACAAAAATATGTCTGTTAATAATGGGTTGCATTTAGTACCTATGGGAATTTCAGCAGATTGTTGCAGAATTTGATCTTCAAAGTCTCTATATATATACTATCGGTTAAAAAATCAAGCATATTATAACAGATCAACTTAAGAGTACTTGTATGGTTTATAGTTTTTTAAAAACATAAAAGGCATTAAATAACCCTGAAAAATTTTGGCATTGCTTTGAAATCCTCTCTAGTTTTGCCAAAGAATTGCAATTTTCTTGCCAAAGAGTAAAGTAAACTATTTCTTATGCTTGCTAGAAACTATTTAATATGAATTTTGAAAGAAGAAAATTTAGATTTCATTTTACGATGCATATATTATATGTATATAACTAAACAAATGAAGAATTAACGATTTTTAATCTGTATTCTTCTCAGTGTAAATTTTCTTTTACTGATTCATTTGGTTAAAAGAAAAGCAAAGCATGGTGATACTATTGAGATAAAATATATAATATTGTAATTTACGTTTTAAAACCCCATAGATGAAGCTATACTTAAAATGTCTAACATTTCTTCTGTTTTCACTGTGAAAAAAAATGTTTAACTTTATGAAATGTGAAATCTGCTATCATTAATTTGATTGGTTTGACGTTTTTCAACGTAATTTTGCTAAATGACCAAGCACAAGATGTGAAAATTCTCGAGTTTCGTTTTTATTGAAAAAAAAAAGATGTCTTTAAGGTCCAGTTTTTAATTTATCGTGTTAATACCCAGATTAAATTTAGTTAAGAAATTGACACGAGTCGTGGTGAAGCTTATATCTTTAAAAAAGTATCTGCGAGAAATTTTCCAAGACATTGAACTTATCACTCGAAGAACGTCATACATTCTCGGAGGTTTCATGAGTTCATATTCCAAGTAAGTTGATGAAATAATAGGTAATGCATAATAAATATATAATCATATCTTTACTATATTATATACCTGGTTTCTCTGATTTATTCCAATAAAATTCTCCAAGTTTGTTGTTAATTCATGATCATTGATTCAAAATCAGGTGGAAAATTCTTGGATAAACCAATAAAAGAAATGGCAAAAGTACCGTCACCGAGATATTAGGAGTCCTTCTCTACTAAAATCAAAGGTCAGTACTGTATTTCCATTTTAGATGGTTTAAATCATATGCTTTTAATTAATAGTTACTTTGGTATTTCTTATTTCACATTAAGGAGCAAAACCGAATCATAGATAAAGCTATATAGCAAAAGATTTTTAAAGAAAAAAAATACCGGTAATTAATATCAGGGTACTTTTTAAAAATTATATCCATATTCTATAACCTTATAGGAGTTTCCTTATTACCTACAATCGAGTTTTACATTTCATTAAAAATAAATTTTCTTTGAATAATTTTAATGATCCAGTGTTTGACCTTACGTACCATTTCTCGACCATCTAAACAGACAAAATTAACGTTTGATTTATAATGATCAAATATTATGTCTATGCGTTCCCTTTCTATATATTTTAGAGGATCATTTTTTTTGATTAGTCACTACAAGTGTTCACACATATATAAATGCTAAACTTGAAAAAAACATGTGTAAAAAAAAAAAAGTATGGAATCGAATAAAATTTACATTTTATACTCAATTGTCTATATCTTGTGTTACGTTAATTAAAAGGATGAAAAATACTAACAGCCAACAATGTAAATAAATCCCCAAACATTACAAATCTGTTAGGAGGGCATAAACGCGGACACATGAGGATTTAAATACAAAAAAAAAAAATGCTTGTACGTGTTGTGAAATTTTCTATAAATTAATTTAGACCTATAATATTTTTGTTCCGTATCATTTTTAGAAAAAAAAACTCTCAGAGGTTTATTTCCCTTGTGGCTATTTTACTTTTTTTTCGTCACTAGAAAGCATTTTACTTTTGAAAAAAAAATGAACAAAGTAAATCATTTCAAATGATTGTTCCTCATCACTTTGTTAAATAAAAAGAAAAAAAATATACTCGAGAGGCTGTGATACTCGTGCATCACATTTGAGGAATTCTTTGTAAAATTGATGACTTTATAAAACAAAACAAAATGTACTACTACTTATTCTCGCCACATTTATTTTAAGATTGTTTTCATGCTGTAATATTAGAAGCTTATATATGACATGTTTAGGTTCTAAAGTTTTTATACCAAATAAGAGACACTTGCTTACTTTTTGATCACGCAAATACATAAAATCAAGTTCTCAAATGCCGCAACTTAAATTTGCAAACACATGTTTTGACCTTTTTAGACTGAAAATAAATTTGAAAATTTCTTTGATGATCATAATTATTTTTCCTGAGAATCTTTACAACTACCCGGTATCTACAATGTCACATGCAAAATGCTCAATCTCTACCCTTTTGACATTAGATAAAGGAAACTGAATTATTATATAATTATTATTTACGAAAACAACAATTTCCTGTAAAGGGTTGGTGTTCTAATTTCATAAAAGGTAAAGCATGGGGGAGTGTAGCAATTTCAAATGAAACAATTCAAAGTCAGTGTCTTATGTACAAAATCTAATATCAAAACGTACTCATTCATACTTTTTTTGCAATTTCGTGGACAAAAAATGTAATAATATAACGAAATACCCAGTATAATTTACGATTGCTTTGACCAGTGGCATGTCAAAATTACTTATTTCCCAGACAAATGAGCAATGAGACATAATATTACACTTCTACTGCGGAAGTGCCCCTGTTGCTTCCAAACATATAAGTCGTTTCTGTTTTGTATAAAAATGACTGGGTTTCCGACATTTTTCAGATCGGATTCAGAAGAAGCAGCGTAAGTATCTTGGCTATTTTATATTTCTTTACTTAGTAATGTTTGTTTTTCTGATAATTGTTTGTTTTTAAGTATAAGTCTATGATTCGAAATATTTGATCTTAGTCATCACCTTGCAAAATGATTAACGTTAATGCTATAAAAGGAAAGTTAAATACCAGTTTACAGAAGAACTTAATAATGTAATTCACATGCCACCAATGTACACTCGTTTTCTGTTCATCTATTTTGAAATGATCGTATACATGTCACCTTTAGATATTTTATCTAAAATAATTTTAAAGGTATGGCTGTTAAACTTTATCCTTGTTACAATATGATGAAGTATGCAATCGTTACTACAAATATGATGGGAATACAGAATGTATAATTCCTATGTTTTATTTCTGAGACATTGAGTCACATGTACATTTATACACTTTATGGAAGGAAAGCTGCTGAGCATTTTTAAAAAAAGATTTTAACTCAAACTAAATGATATCATTTTCTTTCAATCATTTGCGGGAAGGACAGTAGATCTCATTTTTTAAGGTTTAGTAATTCCCATCTTTGCTCTCAACTCCAATCAGATTGAAACTGTAATAGGGACCTACAATGTATATGGTTTTTTTTCTGACAAAACCGTTTGAAAAAAACGAAAAAAAAAATACGTTGACGCTATAGGATTTTTAAAATTGGAAAATGCTAAATTATCAAACTTAATTAAAATCAAATTATCATGTGTTGGTCCTTTTCTTCACATTTAAGTACAAAAATATGTTTATTTTCAGAAAAACACCATGTTCCAGTGTAGACATTCCGCTTTTGCTTTAGCTCTTTTTGTGTTCTTTTCAATTGTCCTCCTGGAAATTGCTGCTATCAACCATGAAACCAATTTGATCAGAAGGTAACAAATTTTAAGGAAAAAATAATAATTTACAAATTCTAGAAATTTAACTTTTAAATTTTATGCAAAATTAAATATACAGAAAAGATCAAATGTGCTCATGTCACAATAAACGATTCAAGCGAAAGTAGAAAACCCCCATGTTTCCACAGCTATACTGATTGATTTCTCCATAGAAGAAGGAAATTCTTCTCATAAAAAATGTCCATAAAAGGAAAAAAAAAATAGATATTAACTGAGCTGTGTAGAATACCAATATATACAATATGTATATTATCAAAGTTAAAAGTGATTTCAAAGGCTCAAAATATTATCCAATAGTTAAAAAGCACTTCCAGAAATGGAATTGTGTGTAAAATATTACGTCATCTTTTTTTATTATACATTATTCGAGAAAATGCAAAGTATAACAATGCTTGATTAAGACGAGAGTTATGTTCTTGATTTGAATTTTTAAAAATCAAATTATTTCAAAATTCGAAAGGTAAAGTAAGATGTCATAAAATACATGATTAAAAGCAATTATTTTAATCTGTTAAGAAAATATGATCAAAATACACCCTACGATATCATATAAATTGTACTCAAATAATATGAACGATCATAGCTGTGTGAGGTTTTCAAACTTTTTTATTCTGATTAAAGAAGGATTTGTTTCTTACGTTTCAGCCGAAAACCTAGAAATATAATGGCAGATTTGTTACTTATGGACTATATGGCTTCTAGACATAGTGATAAACTTGGATATGGTCTAAATATAACTCAATAGTACGTATTGGTTTTACCCTTACACCTTTTAACAGTGAACAACCTCCTTTATAATTCAGTTTAATATATGTCTCTTCTTCAAAATTTCACAACATTTTTTGAGACTGACTTCTATTATGAAAGAAATCAGACTAGGTGAATGCTTACTCTCTCAAGAATAAGTTATATATTTTTTTTATAATTTTTATTTCAGCGGAAGGTAGCACCTAAATTCGTTACCTGGTACGTGGACTCTAATTGACCTCATATATTTTAAATCAAAATTAAATTAAAATATCCCTGGCTTATTTAATATATATATTTAAAAAAAATCTTCTGATTTTCAATATGAGGAATGCACTTTTTATTTAAGATAAACATAACTTTTAAAGAGTTTCGAACAAAGCAATCCAACTTATTTATATATTTTTAACTTCAGGTTTAATTCCATTCCGGAAAACTTGAAAAGCAGTTCAGCCTTGGATTCAGAATGTGATAATAGTATTTATAAATATTGCTGATGTAATAAAATGCAGAAATTTTGTCAAGTATCTATCTTTTATTTTATCTATGATACTGTTTTATATACCTTTTCAAGAGGATTCAACAGTACAGTTGTGTAAGATTTATCACACTTTTTAAATAATTTATTATGAAAAAAAAAACCCAGGACTTTTTGGTATCAAAGACAATTGCCTCTTCAGTAAAGATAGAAGCTAGAAATTTCCTAGCTCTTTATTGATCATCAAAAAAATTATTTAACTTAAATCCAATCTTATTCTGCTCATAAGTACTCTAAAACTGATATCAAAAGGATGCTGGAGTTACTCATTTACAATATATATGTAATCTGTTGGATATTTCAGTGGTTGTATACACACAATTTCGTGCATTGTATAATTTTCTGATATTAACAAGCTTGAGAATTCTGGACATACCATCCTTCGGGAGAAACACTTTTGTGACGGGCGGCAGGCGAAGCTCACTCCTCCATGGCACCTGATCTCATCTCTGATGTTTCGGAGGTCCGTGTTTGTTCTACTCCCATTTTACATTATATAATGGACTTTTGAACTTGAATTCTGTTCGTTATCATAAATTTCCTTGTACCGGTAATATACAGCGTATTTGATGGGGGGTATGCTTGCCTTAAATGACATTAAACAGCAAAAATCTTGTTAAAATTTACTTAGAAATTTATTTATCTTTCTACTACTAGTTATAATGTATGAAGATATTAAATTACTCTAGATTAAATACATCATTTCATTTGGCAACCCTTTATCTGATGCAATAGATTGTGCCATCAAGACATAAAACTAATTAGTTCCTCATATATTATGTGTTTAGAAAAATAAAGACCAGATTGCTGTTTCTTCTTCTTTTTTTTTTTTTTTTTTTTTTTTACAAAAAAATATATATAATATCTTAATTTTCGACACAATTGTCGTGAAAATCCACCTTTGAAATTATTTGATCAGCTTTAATTGTTTTTTTAAAACTTTGTATTTAAAAAGCTTATAGAAGTAAAAAATAATTTCCATTCTACATTTCTATTTTCATTGAAATGTGGATTATAAATGATAATCACTTTAAGATTTAAAGGAAAAGTATTAAAGCGTGGAAATGGATTTAGACATATCAGAAGACTATATTTGCGTATTTCTAAATATAATAACTTATAAATAGCTTCATTCAACATCAAAACTGTCTTTTCGTCGAAATATGATATGAAATGCAAGGAGATAACATGCAGTATTCAAGCTGAAAAGTCATTAAACATTGCATAATTTCGGCCTCCGAAACATCACAGGTGGGGTCAGATGCCACAGAGGAGTGAGTATCGCCTGCTAATCGGTCATACCCACCGTGTGCTCCTTGACAGGATCGGGAAAAAAAACCGGAAAGTCCGTCGACTAAGAGACCTATCAAAGTAGCTTTGAAGACATTTTGAAAGTTCAAAAGTTCAAAAGTAACCAAAAAAAAAAAAAAACAAAAAAAAAAAACGAGACAACAACGAGTCAATTTATTATATGATCATTGTAATTTAACATGTTGCATTGCTAATCGAATTTCATCATTCTCTGTCATCAAAGGCTTATTAGATTTCATCGTCGTCGTCGTCAAAGTCCAAATCTCTCTCCCTCGCACGATATTCCTTTACAAGCTTGAGGAACACTGGAATTGATCTTCTACAATTAGAACATAAATTATGGTCCTCATATTTATCTCTGTAGAAAATTAACGAAAAGTTTTGACAAGGTTTTTAATTTCAAAACGTTGAATGTTTTAAATAGGATGACAATTCTTTTAATAAGGTACAATTATAAAAATAAACTGAATTTAGGGCTTTAAAAAAAGGAGACTACCTTTTTGTCACTCGTCTTAAAATCATCCATGTTCGGTATAAACTGTTGTCATCTCCCAAGTGTAAATCATCGAAATAAATGACTGGAAAATAATTTTTAAAAAGTGATTTTCTTTCTAGAGAAATGTGAAAAAGAACAATACTAGAGGTATCATATCTTTTGATACATCTGGGGAAAATGATTCCGAGGTCATGTACTGTAAAATCACATATTTTAGTGGGGTCAAGTTTTCGTGGTTTGAGGAAAATCTCTTAGTTTGTGGGGATTTGATTTCGTTGATCAAGAATAAATGACTACTTATGTATGTAATATTTATACATTTCAAGGTGGACATAAATTCTTGGGTCTCGTCATACCTCGAAAACAACGAAAATTAAACATCCACGAAAATTTGTGATTTCACAGTATTTAAAAATAAAAGGATATTGTTTTAGACTGAAACAAAGTGAGCATCAATTAAATATTATTAGATAACAAAAACCTTTAATAATATGATAGTATCTAAATATTCTCAATTATTGTTTCAATAACCTATTTTAAAACAACAAAAAGGATTGAAACAGATGTAGAAAGGTTAGTTAACTCAATGTCATTAAAAGGGCTAAGACTACGCATTTTTTCTTAATCTTTACGTAGACTTGCTTATCTCCAAACGTAAAAAGGCATTTGTTTAGCATGTCTGAACGATTTTCTTTAATGTCAAAAACATAAACGAATGAATGCTCTGTTACAACGCACTTTGAAAAATTACGCACTTTGAAAAAAATTTTCAAAGTGCGTTAAATTTGGGACCAAGCTATAACGCACTTTGAAAAAAAAAATTTTTTTCAAAGTGCGTTGATATCGACCATATTGACGCACTTTGAAAAAAAAATGTAGATTGATCAATATTCTTACAAATAATCGGTATGATAAATAACAGATCCTGGATGGATGACTTTTTTATGATGAACTCACTTCAGGACTTGAGAAGTTGACGTTTTAAATATTTGAGGTTTTGATAAAATAAAAGGGAAAAGGGTCTTGAAAAAAAGAGTGACGATTGTTTAAGATCATTAATTCGTTTCTTTCTTTTCTTTAAATTCTAATAAGTATATGTAAAGGTGTAAAGGGGGCACTAACAGTGGACATCTTAAAGCAACTTAGCATTTATCATAATAAAAAGGGGGCAATTTGATTGTTCAAAACAATGAAAATTCTTTCTCTCTCATACGTTTTTCTGTACTTCAATATTTCTAGTTTACACCTGTTTTAATTAACTCATTTAATATTGAAAGTTTTCAACGTTGAGTATAGCATAGACATCGAGACCGGGCAATGGGCCAGGGGAGGAGGGGCTTAGCCCCCCACTTATTCTGGAAAGATATATACATCGTATAAGCATTGAAAATGCAGCTTACCCTTTTCATAGGCGTCGGAACCGGGGGGGCTAGGGGGGGGGGCTTAGCCCCCCCACTTTTTTTTCCAAATATATACTTAGTATAGACATTGAACATATCTTCGTAAGTTTAGCCCCCCCCCCACTTTCCACAGATACGTCTTAGTATAGGTTAAAATTGGGAAAAGTGTTGGTGTTTGGAAGAAAATTTTTGGTACTGGAGTTTGAACTCCCCCCCCCCCCCCCCCCCCCCCCCCCCCCCACGGAATAGGATTTTCGTGTTAGGTTTTTTTTGGTGGTACAAAAAAAAATTTTCTAACACTTAGCTCCCCCACTTTCAATTTGCTTCCGACGCCAATGCTTTTTGTGTTTATTGCTCCCCTCCCCTGTTTGTTACCGACACATATGTATTCAAAAGATAAAGATTTGGACTGAGGAATCTTAGACCTGTCTTCTTTTTTCGACGGGAGTTAATCAATTCATAAGTTTTTTTGAAAGATAAATAGCAATTAAAATCTTTCCATTACTAAAACATGATTTAATTTTTTTTCAAAGTGCGTTAAGTGTCTCCATGGTAAAATATACTGATGTAGACTCTTAACGCACTTTGAAAAAAATTTTCAAAGTGCGTTGAGTTGGTCCCAGATTTAACGCACTTTGAAAAAATTTTTCAAATTGCGTTGATTTTGTCCCAATTTTAACGCACTTTGAAAAATTTTTTCAAAGTGCGTAATTTTTTCAAAGTGCGTTGCCACAATGCTCATAGAGAATCTAAAACGCATATTACCTTGCGAGGATGAATCTTTCAAGCTGAAGGACAAAAGTACGAAAACTGCAATGTAGTACAATTTAGTGGAAACCATCAGGGAAAGATTCTACCTGCTCCTTAAAGAAAATCAAGAAAAAAAGGGGAGATTAAAAGAGAGATATAGAATGATAAAGTCAAACATACATAGCTGCTTATATTTACTGGTAAAATCAAGAAGATGTGTTAGTTAATTAATAATTCCCCGTATTACAGTAAATGGCAAATATTTCTCAAATGTAAATCAAACTCCAAGGTAAAGGTCAAGAAATCAGATATATGATAACTTAAAAGCTATGGGATTGTTAAAAGAAACACATCTTTGAAATATTCTTTACGTACAAGCAATCTGTTAAACGAGGCAAGCTAGTGACAAACAAGTTGGTGAAGCAAGGATTTCAACAGTCTCAATTAAATCTCGAAGAAATTCGTTTTCGAGTTCTATAGTCAATACAATGACTTCGTCAGCATGTACAATCTCTTCTTAAGTCAAATACTGACAGACGTCTTCCATTTCAACTGTTACAGCATTATGTATGCTCTGAATTGTCTTCGGACTTAAGCGTTTGCCCTATTAAGACAAGGAACACAATGCAGGAACAATTCTTGCTCTATTATGTCACCTGATCTGACCTCTGATGTTCAGAGTGTCGTGTTTTTCAGCTCTCGATTCGTACTGTTTCAAAGAACTTAAGAGCTTGATAACTCGATAATCTTTACATGCTCTAGCTTCAACTGTGCAAATTTTTAACCAAGGATAGACTTTTTTCCAGATCAATGAAGGATATGGAGATAAAGAGCAGTATTCAATATCAAAGTCCATAAAACAATACAAATTGGAAGCAGAGCAAACATGGACCTTCAAAACATCGGAGGTGGGATCAGGTGCCTTGGAGGAATGAGCATCCCCTGCCGACCGGTAACATCCGCCATGTGTTCCTTGTCATGATCGGGAAATAACGGAAAAATCCGTCGTCAATTCAAAGTATAAATAATGTACTAACTAAATGAAAAACGTCAGCCAGCATTTGACTCAATGATAAATTGATCAGTTTCAGAGTTATAAGTTATAATAATGTTTGAAGTTGTAAAAAAAATTATTTTTTTTTCAAAAGTAGTTATGAAAATTTTGTCACAAGAAATACACATGAAACATGAAGGACTTATAACCGACAGTTTAAAAGTCATAATAATGTTTGAAGTTTAAAAAAAAGTAAGATTGACACAAGAAATGTTGGAACCACGAGATGCAACACACTAGAAGCCATAGCTCTAAGCAATGAAATATTATGGACATGGTTTAATTTTTTTGGGACAAATCCTTGTTGTAGGAGTAGATATTTACTAATCAGTGAACTAAGATAAATCTAAATCAAAAATATTCCATAAAATAAAAGAATATTTAGCAATAATAATATTTATTTATGTCACAACCAGTAAAATTTTTTTATAACCAATAAAATACAGTTTATGTGAATGTTTGAGATATATATACAGATTTAAGAAGAAACATACTTACTCTCGCTGCTTCAATGGCGGTGCAGCAATTGTGCTATCAATAACAACGTAATTCACTCCCTGCAAACTAATCTATTACTGTAAGTGAATTGCTCCCACGTATATTAACTAGCTACATAAAAATACACTTGCATTTGAAAAGTTTACTTGTCAAATTCATCAAACTTTAACAAAAGCAGGAACGAAAGAAATTTTTGAGCTGTGCTGATTGGTCAACAGATTTGTAAAGGATTGGTTTTCTCCTGGTTTTATGTATGTCACTTAATTATCATCTGAGACTGCCTAAAAGGAATTTTAATTAGTGAAAATCTCAAACTCAATTACAATGGTTCAAATGTAACCACTATTTGTTCAAATATAACGAGAAATTATGTGCTAGAGATTCTGAAATGTTTTATGAAATTTATAATGGAGGAGTTTTCTTGCCCCTTGAGTCTAGACTCCTTCCCATTCTAAGGCTTTGACAAATGACTTAATAACTGGAAGGTGGAATTAAGTACGTTTATCCTTTTATGATACCAATTCAACTGTTAATTCATTCATTGACCAATCCTTCTGTTTAGACAATTACGTCTCATTTTAGAATGATGTTTGATCAGTTCTTTTGGCTAAGCGAGCCTTGTTGGTTTGGCAACACCCAAATATTCTGCTTGCCTAACCCGTATGATGTAATTAGTAGTAGTAAGCAATTTCAAGACATAGGGCTTCCGGCAGTTTTGACCGGTCAAAAGATGATGTATTCTTTTCGTAGGCATCTGAGCAATTTCAAGGTGTCCATGTTTTATATTTTTAATGTTTAACATATATTTAAATATCTTTTTCAAAATATGAGGAAATTTATACAGAAAATGAATGGAAATTAACCATGCTTAGCATAATATCTCAGAAAAGAACAAAAGGAGCAAACGGAGGGTGTTACCGGTCGACAGGAGATGCTCACTCCCTGATCCCACCTCTGATGATTCGGAGGTCCTTGTTTGTTCAACTCCTATTTTGTATTAGTTAATGGACTTTTGAGCTTGATTTCTGTTTGTTATCTCAATATATTTCATGATGACCTTGTAGTGACGTTTTTCTTTTACATACACTTGCTGTGGATTTCACCTCGACTTTAACATACGAGGGCTGTCCGTAAAGTTCGTGGACAACATTGATAATTACTGACAAGCATTGACAAAATATATGAAACTATTATTTTCATTAAATTCATGTTCCATTTTATAAATATGCAAGTTTTCAACAAAAACAAAACACAAATAATTATAATTTTATCAGATACAAGAAAGACACACACTCATACCCGGAGCACTAAAACGAAAATTCTTGACGTTACTCGACGTCAAAAGCTAAATACGTCGAGCACATGTAACTTTTATCAACACAGTCAGCGTTTAACTCAATAATTACTTATGTCGTTTTGACAAGTCATAAAAAGATGCACAAAATATTAAGGTTTTATTCGAAAAATAATATTTAACAATGCCTGTCTCATATATCCTGCAATCATCCAACCACTGTCCGTGTAAAGACGATTTTATTTACGGAAATACGACAAAGTCATGATCGCGTTACGAAATTCATTTTTTACAGCACTGCAATCTCAAAATGATGGTTTTCCTTCATGCATGTCATCCTGTAAACTGTTCATTCCGTCCGAAAATATTATACGCCACTTAAATACTAGTAAACGACTTCTTTTACTATGTTTTCCCGATTGTTTACAGAATGTATTGGTCTCTATTCTGATGTCTACGCAGAATTTTATCACTGTTCACTGCTCCACCTATTCCGAAAACGTCCTTTTTTTAACAATTCGGATTCGTCTTAATATGTTCTAACTTTGATTACTCAACCATTTTACAACTTTGAACGTTCAAATTTTGCAGGTTTGACGTGATAGCTTCTGTCAACCTCATAATGTAAAATTCTTTCAGATTTTCCCAGAATTTTATAAAATACAAATGAAATTTATAAAGTGATAAATATTTTTTTTATTAAAATTTTGTGGTGCTCCGGGTCTCCATTTCAAGTCTAATTATGAATCCATAATTGTAATTAAACATTTGAAATTGAATAAATTTTTACATTTTTCAATTCACATTTAGTAAAAGATTAGAAATATGTCAATAATAAATATCAATGACATAACTTTTATTAAATTTTGAGCTTTTCCACGAACTTTACGGACAACCCTCGTACATTGACGATGCTTTATCAATGATCAATATTTTTTTCCATTCATATGTTGACTCGATGCAACCCAGGAGTTTGAAATTAAATCCCACGGAGTTTGTCACATGTTCATATTTGGATGTTTTACTGAATATAGACGACACAGGCCAATTAACAAGTAAAATATTTACTTCAATTTCCTTTTTTTTCATTTCTTAAGAAAAACACCATCAGTCTGTTTCAGTCATGAAACGTAAAATCATGAACGTGAAATAAATTGAAATAACGAATAGAATTCAATCTCAATAGTTCATTAAACAATACATTTTTGGATCAGAACAAACCCCGGCCTCTAAAACATCAGAGGTGGGATCAGGTGTCAAGAAAGAGTGAGCATCCTCGGCCGACGGTCACACCCGCCATGTGCTCCTTGCCATGTTCGGGGGAAAAACGGAAAATCCCGCGGACAACTCAATGTATAAATAATGGATTAACAATCAGTATGTAAAGAGTCAGTCAGCATTTGTTTTCAAGATAAAAAATTGTATTTGCTGACAAGGTCATTGTATCGACTATGGAACTTTTGAAATGAAGACTATAAACGAGACTGCTGATATTCTTGTGTCATCAATTTGTTTGTCAATTACTTGCCTCGTTTTAGAAATTTTTATACGTAGAACATGCTCTTTAGTATCGAAACATCCGAGAGATCTAAACTCCACATGCAGGCGACAAAAGTATGAAGGATATGGAGATAACGAACGGTATTCAATATCAAAGTCCATAAAACAATATAAAAAAGAGCGGAGCAAACACGGACCACAAAACCATCAAAGGTGGGATCAGGTGCCATGGAGGAGTAAGCATCCCCTGCCGACCGGTCACAGCTGCCGTGTGCTCCTTGTCATGTTCGGGAAATAACGGGAAAATCCGTCGTCAATTCAGTGTATAACTAATGGATTAACAATAAGTATTAAAAACGTCAGTCAGCATTTGACTCGATGATATATTGTTTTTGCTGACAAGGTCATTGCATCAACTACAGAACTTGCGAAATGTTGACTTCAACCGAGACTGTTGATACATGTATCTTCGTTTTATCAACTTGTTTGTCAATTTACCTGTTTTTAGAAATTGTTCATACGTAGTGCAGGCTCTTGCGTATCGAATCAACTGAGATATAAAAGCTCCTTATGCAGGTGATAATTGCTGCATAAGTAAGGAAAGTTGACGATAGAAAAGTCATCACGTTTATCATAGAACTTGGTTGTTAGATTACCATTAACATCTTTTGCAACTAAAATACCCAAGTATGAACCAGGATATATCGTATCGATATAGGAATGGAAATGACCATTGTAAATTGACAATACGTCGTCGATATATCTAATGTCCAGTTGAAGGTCACAGCAAGTGTTTTCTTCTTTTCACGTATAAGATTTTGTAAACATTCTGCTTCATATAAATACAAAAGTATTGCTGCATAAGGTTAGAAAGTTGACGATTAAAACGTTAAAGTCATCTAGTTTATCATAAAACTTTGTTGTAAGATAACCACTAACATCTTTTTCTATTAAACGTCAAAATATGAAACAGATGTGTCAGATTCTGTGCTATCGTTTATTTAAACTAATCGGGATATGTTGTGTCGAAATAAGAATGGAAATAACTATTATTAATTGAGAATGCGTCGTCGATATACGAATCTACAAGGGTCGTAATAAATGTCGAGTTGAAGGCCACAGCCTATTTCCTTCTTTTTACATAAAAGATATATTGAACAAATTCTGCTTCAAATGATCAGTACGTATCGGTCCCTACTGACAAAAAAGGTAACAATACTGTATTCGTATGTAAGACTCATTATATAAATTGTTTTTAAAATAATTTGGATTTAATTCTACAAGTGACAATTCAACTCATACTAAAAGTTCCCTTTCTAAGGAAGAAATTCTTCAAAATCATATGTCAGTTTTTAATATTTTTAATATTCCAAAGAACCAAAATGAATTTGTACTACCATATATATCTACATGTATATTGGATTCCGAAACTTCATAAGAACCCCTACAAACAAAGATACATTATTAGTTATCCAGGTTCAATCAGTAATTATTCACCATACACCCTGAGGCCGTAACGAATTTATTTCCTTGTACCCATAAAAATGCTAAACATCAAAGTGTGTCTCAAGATATAAACATGCATTGTGACGTCACGTTTTATTTACACCCGGCTCAAGTAGGGTGCAAATTTAGTACTTTGCAACCAATAAAGCTCGTGTTACAAAAAAATAAAGCAGGTAATGTAAATAAACAGAAGTAAAAAAGAAAACTCCACAACAATATATGAAATCACAATATTTTACCAAAACGAACAACTTGAAAACTCCCGTCTTTTCAACTTTATACACACCATTCCCTACGATAAATAAAAGTCCAGGCTTTCTGATATCATTGACTGTCTCGTTTAAATTCATCATTTCATAAGTACAATGGTCGATACAACGACCTTGTCGGCAAATTTATCATTGATTCAAATGCTGACTGATGTTTTTATACTAATTGTTAGTTTATTTTCTATTCACTGAATTGACAACGATTTTTCCGTTATTTCCCGGTCATGACATGGAGCACATGGCGGATGTGACCGGTCGGCAGGGGATGCTTACGCCTCCATGGCACCTGATACCACCTCTGATGTTTTAAGGTCCGTGTTTGCCCTGCTCTTTTTTTGTATTGTTGTTTGGACTTTTGATCTTGAATACTGTTCGTTATCTCCATATGTTTCATGAGTACAAAAATATGTCTGCTAATAACAGGGCGCAATTGGTATCCATGGGAATCATCTAAATCCAAAATTCAATCAATCCTTTATTTAATTCAATAAAACTATTTTTTTATTTATCTTGTTTTAGTCATCAATTTCATGGAAGAGTAAAAAACTAAAACACAAATAAAGAAGAATTAATACATCAATATACTTAGTATGATGATATTTATTGATAAAATCGTCGTCTAATATAGACTGGTACAATAACATTCGCTGTAGATCACAAAATAAAAGAAAGAGACAAAAAATGAGGTGGTAATAATCGAGGACGTCCTTTTTATAGTTTCTCTTCACCGAGTCTTCTTCATTTTCTTCTTCATAAAATCACAAAACTTCAACACTAGGTATCAGTTTATTTTCCTGGCATTTGATGAGGGGTTGCTCCTGCTAGTTTATGTATAACAAACGGCTTCTGTGTGCTGTAAAGAAAGGAAAAGGAATGAGAGAGAAAATACACGAAAATGGGAAACTAGTATCTTAAAACTTCAGTAAATATGGACAACAAATCCTTGGAGACACCAGAGGTCTAGTCATGTACCTATAAATTAAAATTGTTTTATTCCTATATTTAACATAAAACTACATCAACATTTTTCTTCACTAAAAAAAATAGGAAACTCCAGCATCCTTTTCATTTCAACTTCAGAGTACTCGTGTGTAGAATTTGGGAATTGATAACGAAATGGTTTTGCCGATGACGAATCCCAAGTCCTAAGTTCCATTTTTTTTAAGTTTGAAAGAAAAACTATTGCCTTTGATATTAAAAAGCCTATTTTTAAAAAATATTCTTCATGGGGAATGATTTTGTTAAGTATAGAAAAGTCGTACAATTTAATGCACTGACTTAAAGAATTATGAAAATAAAATTTTTCAATTTATAGTTTTTGTGGGTCCACATCCTATGGGATTACACCTTATCTAGAAAATGCTATTATACTAAAACTGAAACTGGTTTAATTGATTAAACGCCTTTTTTTTTTTTACAACATATTCAATGCCGTTGTATAAAACCTGTATAATAAATATAAACATAAAATATATAAATATTTACAAGGTTACATAGAAAGTTATAGTTAAAATAAAGCATTAAAGTCCCTAAAGAAGTAGCTTTTAAAATTTTATTAAAATTCATGAATAGATTTTGATTTTTTTTTATGTACAAAGACAGTTCATCTTGGTTGACAACACACAGATTCATATCAATTTTACAGTATCATGCGCGGATCTTTAAAAGTCAACGATTTTACACCCCCCCCCCCCGGAATTTGTAGAGTTATTAAATGTACTAAACCAAGTGAAAGGAGTTTAATTTTTTTGCTTCTGGTTGACAAGAAATTTGCGGGTTGAGACTTTTTGGACACAACCCCCGAAAAAAATCATGAATCGGCACCCGAGTATTTTAAGCGAAATCTGTTAGAATTACTTACACTGGTTTCGGTTTCACCATCCCGGCCGGTCTGGCTTGGCCATTACCTCTGCTTTGTAGTCCAAGCTTTTGGAGGTGTAAGAGAAGCTGCTGGTGTTTTATCATATTTCTATAGAGGTAAAGAACTTGCGTAAAACAAATGAAAGAACTGGTACGAGTTCATGTATACAGATTATTTTTGAACATTTTAATTAGCAACTATTTTAAAGTAATTATAGATCATGCAGGACATGAATGAGGACAAGAGATTACTAGTAATTACCTTGCTATGATTTCTTTACGTATACATTCCTCAACACTCCCACAGTTTCTAGAAACTAATGAGAAATCAATTAATGAATATAACAGAAACCTCTATTTCAAGATTCAACAACAAACAGCATAAATTAGATTTTGCGGGTCTGTGCTGAAATACCTTCAATTCTGGAAACTTTTAAATCGTCCAAAATGATTATAACCGTAAATGTTGATTTCTTAATGGGAGAAGTCCGTTATTTATGCACATTTCCAAACAATCTTTCTTCACCTGACATACCCAATAAACAGGAGAGAGTTACCTTACACATGTATTTATATTCTTATGTAAAATAGAAATATAGATACAAATGTATTATTGAAACTGCGAATAAAATTGAAATATACGATGCATTTCTTGTTTATATTAATATCCCCGCCTATTGAGGCCAAGCACATTTTAAATGCCTGATAAATTTTCAAATTGTTTTCTCTACTCATGAAGATTTTTTTATCATCTTAGAAGAAGGATCATTATTTCTTTAGTCAATATTTCGTTTTTATAACAGTCAGTTAGTGGTTATTTATATAAATTCTAATATTCAACTTTTTTTCTTTAAAAAATCTGACAATGCTGTATTAATTGCAATGCTCAACAACATACTTTTGAAATTACGATTCGGTTTCCATAACCCTGGAAAGTTTATCCTGAAAGAAAGATAATTAGAATTAAAAATGCACATAAAATCAATAATCAAGTTTTAAAACCAACTTTAGGAGTTTTTGTACACTAATAATTAATTAAACTAGAGGTATTGTGAGCAATGAGCTCACTAAATGATACCCCCCGCCTCCCATATGAATATAATGGCAGTGTCCATGTTTTGCTCTGGAAAATCAAAAATATATGTCAGATCAAAAAGTAAAATAGGAGGTGGACAATGGCAATATGTTATTAAGAATCTGTGAAAGTTTGATCAAATTTCCTTCAGTGGTTTGAGAGGAGTTGCGGATAAGAGATAGGTACCCCAAAGCGTAACAGACGGACGGACGGACGGAAATACCGATTACTATACACCCTCCCACTTTTCAAGCGGGGGGTATAATAAAAAAGATTTTATTATCTTCTAAATATTAAGGATCATATTGCTAAGGATACGAGATTTAATATTGACATTCTCTCATTACACTCCCCGCTTGAAAAGTGGGAGGGTATATAGTAATCGGTATTTCCGTCCGTCTCTCCGTCTGTTACGCTTTGGGGTACCCATCTCTTATCCGCAACTCCTCTTATACCACTGAGTGAAATTTAATGAAACTTTCACAGAATCTTTATTACATATTGCCATTGTGCACCTCCTATTTTACTTTTTGATCCGACACATATTTTGGGTTTCCCGGCCACAACAAAACATGGACTTTTCCATTATAATCATATGGGAGGCGGGGGATATCATTTAGTGAGCTCATTGCTCAAAGTACCTCTAGTTTCTCTTACTTTCTTTTGAAATTTTTTTTTTATGAATGAACTCACATTGGAAATCCGCATCTCCGACATCGACCTGCAAAATAGAATCTTATTCCTCTAAGAAATTTTTTTGTCAATGATCGATGTTAACTGAAAGTTCCACTAATAAATACTAAATCCGTTTCTAATAGATAATGTGTTAGAAGTTATAGCGTCTTGTACATGTAGGTGTCAAAAAAGCACAATTCTGTTCAATGTTTATTACTCCCTTGATTTAAAATTGCAGTTTAGTTTTCATGTTGCGTATAATATTTATTTTCAATATTTTTATTATATTTCTATTATATTTTTAATATATTGTACATATTCTATCAACATCATTTTTTTTTCTTTATTGAAAAAAAAAATTGAAAATAAAAAAAATCCTCAAAAAAGTATAAGGTCGATTTTCTTTAACTAAAAATAGATATACTCACCCGCTGAGCAACATAACCTAGAAGAACAGAAGTCCACACAGAGTATCGCAATAATAAGGAGGATCAAATACTTCATTATTCTGCTTCCAGTAATTTTTTGTGCGAGTTCTTGTTGTTTTTTTTTTTTAATTTTATTTACACATACAATGAAATTCGTTCTATTTAACAAGAGACGGACAGCGTGGGCCGCTTAGCTATGATACCTTCACAAATTAATCATCATATATCAACCACTTTTATTTTAGTTTGTTTTACTTGATATGTAACTAATGAAAAGAGATGTAACTGAATGAAAGAGTTAAAATTAATTCAGTATTAGAAAATTTATTTAGTTATCTGTCATACCTTAAATTCATGCATAAAAAGATTAAGAAAACGTGAAACACATTTGGATTTGAAAGATTATGTTTGTTTTAACACGGTTTACTTCGTGTAATTGCTTTTAGAAACAATCAATTAACACATTTCAGTGCTTAAGACAGTTAAGAATCTCTCAATGGTCATGTAACATATCTGTGTTCTTTCCTAGTACCTCGCTTACGTTTTAGTTTACTTCGTTATTGAACATTGAACTTCTCTTTCAACATATTGATAATTTTTAAAAGTTGATATTGTGTATTTTACGTAAAATCAGTTAAATCTTAATAGAAGAGGTGTATGAAATAATTATAAATAGTTTTAGCAACTGCTAGTAAGATATAAAAGCTCTGTCATCCAAATTATCATATAAAATGAATGTATATTTTCATAACTTTCAAGAGCATACACCAGGAATTAACTTCCAGAGATAAATGATTTCAAAACTGGACTGTATTAACTGATAGTGATTTAAGAGATTTCACGTTTGATTCCTTTTATTTTACTCTTAAATCTTAGCATTTATTTATAACTTATAACTGTGAAAGAGGACAATATTAACACTGTTTTATCATTTGGTTTTTATTCGTTTTGTCCTCTGAGTTACTGAAGATCATATTTTATATATTAATATATTATTATATTATATAAAATATTTTATCAAATATTTCATGCACCATAACCTAATAAAATTTAACTTTCATCGTAATCCCTTTTATTTTCTGAATGAAAAATCGTTTACATAACTTACACGTAGATCTCAGGTAGCAATTTTATTTTCGTCGCTAGAACGTGGTTTTCCTGGGCTTCCGTTTAAGACGTCTACGAAAAATTAAAATTTTCATCTGATCCCCTGGAAATATTTAGTACATATGTTCGTGTTTATTAAACATATATATTTTATGGGATTGATAATTTAAAAGATTTACATGTAATACTGGCATATGGATCTTAGAATCAAAAACAATATTGTGACATTTAATTTAACAAAGAGTTGCAGAGCCTCAAGTAATTTTTGTTTCTTTTCCTTTAATTTATTTTTTTTTACAGCTTTACATATTTGATTTTAATAGAAAATAATAATGCAGACTTATTGTTTTTTTTTTCTATCCTGTTTTTAATTTAAGAAGACTCCTGCCCATGATGAATATCAATATTAAAATTGAAGACAGTGATAGAGCTTTAAAAAAAACTATAGTAATCATTACATGTTTTAAAGACGCCACAAATCATGGATAACAAGAAAATCCAGAATTGGGATCAGGTGCCTGGGAGGAGTAAGCAGCCCCTGTTTAGTAGTGACACACGCCCTATATAGGAGGAGTTAGCAGCCCCTGTTTAGTAGTGACACACGCCCTATATAGGAGGAGTTAGCACACCCTATATAGGAGGAGTGTTTAGTAGTGACACACGCCCTATATAGGAGGAGTTAGCAGCCCCTGTTTAGTAGTGACACACGCCCTATATAGGAGGAGTTAGCAGCCCCTGTTTAGTAGTGACACACGCCCTATATAGGAGGAGTTAGCAGCCCCTGTTTAGTAGTGACACACGCCCTATATAGGAGGAGTAAGCAGCCCCTGTTTAGTAGTGACACACGCCCTATATAGGAGGAGTAAGCAGCCCCTGTTTAGTAGTGACACACGCCCTATATAGGAGGAGTAAGCAGCCCCTGTTTAGTAGTGACACACGCCCTATATAGGAGGAGTTAGCAGCCCCTGTTTAGTAGTGACACACGCCCTATATAGGAGGAGTAAGCAGCCCCTGTTTAGTAGTGACACACGCCCTATATAGGAGGAGTAAGCAGCCCCTGTTTAGTAGTGACACACGTCCTATATAGGAGGAGTAAGCGACCCCTGTTTAGTAGTGACACACGCCCTATATAGGAGGAGTAAGCAGCCCCTGTTTAGTAGTGACACACGCCCTATATAGGAGGAGTTAGCAGCCCCTGTTTAGTAGTGACACACGCCCTATATAGGAGGAGTTAGCAGCCCCTGTTTAGTAGTGACACACGCCCTATACATGGATCAGGGAAGCAGATCACGTAGGCAAAAACGACGGTAATAGTTGCTTATAAGGTCATTTTAACGACCATAAAAATACGACATTCGGACTTTAAACGAGGTTGTAACATCAACTTATCGATGAGTAACATTCCTCTCCTTAAAAAAGGTCGTACTCAGAGCAAGCTATTGAGGAGTGAATGAGTTGGGAGAGTTAAACACCATAACCAAATAATTCTGGAATATAACAACATAAATAAGGAAATTAAAGTTGATGATGGAAAAGTCATCTCAATTGTCATTCACTTTAATAGTTAAATGGACTTCATCATCTAAAAGTAAAGTATCCGTGACTGAACCATATGTGGCAGACTCGTGTGATTTTTTTATATTCATGTTTACTGGAATATCGTATGAAGTTCTGTCCAATCATTTTTTTGACCTTTCTCTCTTTATTTATTAATTTTAAATATTCATGCATGTTTTAAAAAAAGTTATAAGTTTGCTGATTCAAATAGGAATTAGCTTTTTATGGTAAAATTAATCTTACATAAATTATCTGACTAATCTTGCTTCATATTTGTTTTTCGCTTTTGTCAGCTAAGATACGGTTACTTTAAAAATAATAAAATAAAATAACAGTATTACCCGAAAAAAGTAAAACACTCATGGGCAAAATAAAGACTTTAAAGCACATAAAGACGTTTTAAAAAGTCTCATTCTTTCAGTGCCAGAGATACGTGGAGATACAAGGTCCGTAAAAATAGTTGTAAATACATTAATGTTTATATCTTTTCTAAATCAATGTACACAAGCATAAAGATGCTTGGTAGAAACCTACATAGATCCTCAGGGAAAATTTAAAGTGTTCATTCAAGCAAAAACAGGGGGGCGGTCATGAACTTTGCACGCGTTGTCCAATGGAGCAAAGAAAAGGTCTACATTGAACTTCAAGTGGACCCCTCAAATTATAGAAAATAAAAATTGCAGATTGCTTTATTCTTTCAAAGCAATTTTAATCAAATAGGTTTCAGAAAGACTATGTCGGATTTTGTTTGCCATCTATTTTAAAACCATTTAGACGGAACCTTCTATACATATAATGAATTTATTGATAAAAATGTTATTCTATTAAATGTAATGTATATAATGTTTTCATTTAGTATGAACTTAGTTCAAGGATAAAAATTAAATGTTTTTAATTCATACAAGCCAGCATGAAATGTACTTTCAAAGAGAGTTTTAGATGTATAGATTAATTGATTTTTTTCTAATAGCAACATGAAACTTATGGTAACGATTTGCTTGATTGTAAAATTTATATGCATATCTTTAAGTAATTTTATGACAAAATTTCTGTGATTTTCTTTTTGAACAATATATTTAATTATAATATACATCGACGATCGAGAGAGAGTAAGGAGCAATCTTTTAAACATCAGTAAGCTAATATGAAATAAAATGATTCCATAGTATTTTTTTTTTAACATGCCAACAATTAAAATCATTATTAAAATTCATTTTTTAAGTTTGCTTTTCATGGGAGAACTTAGAACTTGTCTTACTTTTTATTCACTGCTATAAAAGTGAAGCAATACTGAGAGTGTTAAAAATATACTTTATGTAAAAAAAAACCCAACAACAACAGATGTTTGAAATCGTCATTTCGTTAGTTCTATGATCGATACAATGGCCTTGTCATCAAATACAATTTATTATTAAGTCAAATGCTGACTGACGTTTTCCATACTAATTGTTAGATCATTATTAACACACTATATTGTTTTTCCGGATTTTCCTTTTATTCAATCATGACAAGGAGCACACGGAGTGTATGACCGGTCAGCAGGGGTTGCTCACTTCTCCATGGCACCTGTTCCCACCTCTAATGTTTTGGAGATCCATCTTTGCTCCTCTCCAAAGCAGTATTGTTAAATAGACTTTTGAGCTTGAATACTGTTCGTAACTTTCATATAGTTCACGTTTGATAGTCCCAAAGAAACGGTTTTTTTTTTTCGATAGGCCATTTTATGAATATGACTAATTATCAGATAGCCAAGGCGGTGAAAAGTTCATAATTTCTACCCGGTACTCTGTCTGTGTTCCTAACAATCTAGTACCTAGAGATATAAACAAAAAGATTTGAATTATGCATGAAATATTCATGGCACCTGATCCCATCTCTGGCCCAAGGATCATGAAACATATTCAGTCTTATTCAAAATATTCATATTATACTAAAATTTTGATTAAATCAAGTTGACAAAAACTGAAATAATTCTCAATATTTCTTTCCAAAAGTGTTGTTATCTGCAAAATAAAAGATTCGTTCAATAATTTATAAACATTTTACAGGCGATTAAAAATTTGACTAAAGTCTAAATCTGTTTCATGATCCTGGGACCTGATGTTTTTGAGGTCCGTGTTGTTCCACTCCTATTTTGTAATGTATAACGTATTATCTCTACATATTTCATACTATATTCTATTAAGCATTATCTAAATAATTGTTCACTTTCAATTCTCATCTACATAAGTAAAATTACGTTTTTAAAGAAAGTTATACGTAAAGATTCTTTTATGTTTGATGACATTATCATGGATTTAGTATTAATGGGAAATAGATGTATTTATGATGCTGACTAAAATTATTTGTGGTTAAGTTATTAAGCTTCTTGGTATCGTCTGTAAATAATTAAATGGAACTTTAACACTATGCTTGAAGGTGATTTAAAATTGCACTTTTACAAGCAACAAATTAGTGACCCTTTCGTCTTATAATTTAAGAACTTTTTTGTAATAACATCACCTCTGTCCTCTGAAATGTAAATAAATAAAGAAAGCAACCAATTAACCAAAACGTGTTGAATCGAGACACTTGGTACCAGTTGAGCTCTGTTATTAAAGTAAATAGATTTAATTTAAAACTTTAAAGGTATCATGATCAACAATAAAATAAAAGTTTTGTGGTCATTCTTTAAGTAATGAATATTTATCTAGCCAAGAATCAAAAGACCACTCGAATAAGTTCATAGACTTTGAATTTTATCATTTTCTGTGTCAATTCAATTTAGACACAAAAACAACCTTAAGGGTAAACGTGATGTTAAATGGCCAAAACCCCCCTGGCCTATATATATATATATAACTCTGGAACCGAGGTATCTGTTCAGTACCTGGTATAAGATGACCAGAACAGGTATACTTTGGACGCTGTCCTGCCTTTTTGCCCTCGTGGCCTCCCAGTCCTCCTGCCCAGATGAAGATTCAGGCCTGAAAAAATGGTCAGAGGATGCAACATGGAATGGACAGGTATCAGTTCTGAATTCTTACTCGAAATTGCTGGTTCTAAAATCTTGAAATGATTTGTAAGTCTAACTTTTATTTTTTAAAAAAATAATGTTTGTTTGCCCTCTCGCGACCAAGGATGGAAATTTAGCCCCTCGGTCGGAAGAGGGAAACAAACTAATTCTTTAAAGTTGGCCTGAGAAAATATTTTTATTTTCTATTTGAATAAAAATTATAATATGTGAAATAGTCTTTATCATATCTGAACAATAATATTAAAATATAATTATATAAGCGAAAGTTATGTATACTGAGTAATTGCAAATTTCAAAAATTTTAATGCTACAAACATTTTTTAAAACATGTAAATGTTATGGCACGTCAAATTCACAAAAATGAGATAATCATAGTTTCACAGTTGATAAACTAGGTTTTTCGACTGTAAACTATAGTTTACAAACCGTAAACTATAGTTAACGATTCGTTAAGTATAGTTTTCATCTGTAAAACTATATTTAACAGTTGTTAACTATAGTTTACGAATGTTAATTTAAGTTTATCTGTCTATAATAAAGCGTTAACAATAGATTTTGTTGATAAACATAGATTCACGTTTGTAAACTATAGTTTACAATCGTAAACTATAGTTAAGAGTTGTTAATCATAGTTTCACGAATTGTGAAACTATATTTATCAGATCGTTAACTATAGTTAACGGTTTGTAAACTATAGTTTACAAATCATGAAACTGTATTTATCAGATAATTTATGTTTTGCAATCGCAAATGATTGTTTTCGGTGTTAAGTATAGTTTACGGTTGTGAAACATAGATTATCGCGTTAACTATGGTTTACAGATGTGAAATATAGATTAACGTTGTTAACTATAGTTTACGGTTTGTAAACTATAGTTTACAACCGATAAACCTAGTTTATCGATTGTGAAACTATGATTATCTTATTTTTGTGAATTTGGCGTGCCATAAAATGTTCTGAAAATTTTCAGTATAATTTTCTGGATAATTTTTTATATGTCTATTTCAAAATTATTTAAAAGGATTTTATACATTGAAAAAGAAACAAACGATTTAAATCAAAGCTAATCCTTAAATATCAAAATAACAAACTGCAGTATTATTTAAAATGTTCGGCTTTAGATAAGTAATAAGAGTTGAAAATGTGTGTAAAAAATCTCCGTTAATCAAAAGGTGAAAGGAAATTATAGACAAACATAAAACAAACATATAGGCTTTTGCGATATTTGAAGGAGATTCAATTAATAATTTAATGTAATGAGTGATATATTTCATTTCAGTATTAACTTGATAAAATACCCTTTCTATACAGAATGTACAGTGTACATAGTTTTATTTTTCTTTTTAAAAATTAATTTGCCGATTATTATTTTTCGAATTCACCATCCATTATTTTCTGTTTTAGGTCCCACAAAAAGGGGATGACCTAGTCATCGAGAATGGAGATAAACTGCTCTTGGACACCTCCCCTCCGTCTCTGGGCTCTATAACAATACAGGCGGGCGGATTGTTGGTGGTGGCGGACAAGATGGACATTAGTTTAAGTGTCAAGTACATTAAAATCCAAGGAGAAATGCACGTGGGCTCAGAAAATTGTCCCTTCACTGGAAAACTCCACATAACTCTGCAAGGTAAGTAATATGGCACATTTTTAGTTTTATTGGAAATGTTTATTTGAAAGGCCGGTTGGCTCCAAACATTTGTTAAGCATAGACAATCATGAAATGTATAATGTAAAAATAGAATTTGGTTATGTTAGGTAAAACTACACACTTCTCTGTAAGATAAATTATAATAATTGTTTTATGAGTTGTTAAAGGTAAGATAAAACTGCGTTTAACTTTCTCTGATAATTCAGTTAGAGTATTGGTTAAGTCTTTTGCATAACATAATTTGAATTTTAAGAATAACTTCTTTTATTTTACTAAGGTAATCTGGGAGAATATGACATACCAGGTTTTGGCGAGAAGTTCATTGGTGTAGAAAATGGCGGAGTACTTGAAATTCACGGTGAATACCGCCTACCCTGGACAAAGATCACAAACACAGTGGACAAAATCCAGTACATTTCTAACGTCAGGGTCAGTTCTGTTTAAATTGTGTTTTTCTCCAAGTCTTAAATAAAACTTATACTGGGATATAATAAATAGTCAAGTTTGAATATAGCATGATAATAAAAGCAGTCTCAAACAATATGTATGATCAAACATATTAAACTGACACATGTGAGAACAAATTAAGAGTTATGTCCAAGACACGATGTAGTTACGATATCGACACATTACTTTTTTTATAGTTTACTATAATAGTTATATATTCTCATGTGTATATTACAATACTTTTTGTTTTAAGACTATTTCCTTACTGTTAATATCCTCGATATCGTGCTGATATCGAAAGAATTGTGATTTCCATCCTTAATATGGTGTTTTTAACAATTGTTACTTAAAAATTTCTTGATAAATCTTTCCCTGGTGTGTCGATATCGTCGATATCGACGATATCGCTTCGATATCGAATCATGTTTGCTCAGTTCTTGGTAAATAACTTCCCTGTTTCTTTGAATGTGTTTATATTTAAATACTTTACTTTTACGAAGATTTTACCTGCCATCGATATCGTCGATATCGACGATATCGTATCGATATCGATTCATGATTGTTAAGAGCATATTATGTTACCAATCTTCATCTAATACAATAACTTTATTTTTACATCACTTCTGTGTTTAAAAAGTTTACCTTAATATCGTCGATATCGACGATGGTCGATATCGAATCAAAAAATATTTTGTTTTCACACTAATCCAATATCTTACTTTTAATCTAATCTCAAACAATAACAACCCTAAAATTTTCTTTATCATATTAATTTATTTTTATATCCAATAAGGAATCAATTTGGACTTCACTTGTGATTTTCTAAAATTATGTTATACCTCAATGTGAAAATAAATTGTGCAAAAGGATCGATATCGATACGATATCGTCATGATATTGTCGATATCGACGACATCGACATAATACAAGTCTCAAATACAGCACCAGGTATTTCCAATTAATAGTGCTGATTACGATCGATATCGATACGATATCAACATAATATTGTCGATATCGACATCATATTTGTTCTTGGACATGTATGCAAATTAATGGTAGATAGAAAAGTGTGCAATTCTTTTGTTTTCTTTCACAGAATATTGATATTGCACAAGAAGGTAACGATACTGACAATATAGGCCAAAACATCCGGGCACTTGTTATATACGTCTTCAATGAACAAACTGGTGTCTTGGAGTCGGCGGCACAACTGGTGAATACTAATGGAAAAGTCAGGAATTTTCCCAATAACGTCGCAGCAGCTAAACAAATTCTCGATGGTGAGAGTTAGTCAAACTGTAATGTTTCACTAAATAAACCCTTCTCACAGTATTAGTCAACCGATATGGGTTTTTTTGTTTCTTTAAAACACAGTCGATAGGGAGAAAAGTTGGATGAATAAAAAAAAAACATTGAGAAGAATTTTTTAAATCAATATATTTAAATCCACTGAGTTCTGTTTCTTCTTCTTTCTTTAAATTTTTCCTTTTGAAAAATTAATTTTTCTTTGATTTCCCCCAATTTTACATATAATATGCCCATTTCATTATTAGATATCCCGGCAGGAAAGATAGTAGGGTTAGCATTGAAGAGGAGATTTAGGGTGGAGAGAGTTGACCCTTCCGGACTGTTTGATATGCTAGAGGAGTGGGCCTATGGAACAGTGGACAAAACCTCTCTACAGTTCAGAGACTACAAGTTCCACGGAGCTTGGGCGCTTATCAAGAAACAAGGTTCAGTAGTTCTCTTACTTCGATAAAGTGTTAAACGATTTTTAGTCATTCCTTTTTTTCAACCTTTCAACAGAAAAAAAAATCATGAAAAACGAAAAGCTAAGCATAAAAAATGTAAAAACAAAAGCATATCCATCTGTTTAAACAAATCAGTATACTCATCGATATTTTATTCGTCTTCTGTCTTCGCCATATCAAAATTGTACTGTCATTTGCAATTTTATACAAATTAAGACATATTTTAAAAACAACTCTATGCTCAATTTCTTGAACTCAGGCGACGATTCAACCACCCAGGAACTTCTGCTGAATGATGATGGAAAAAACATCCGAATCGCCGAACTTTACCACGTGGAGAACGACATTAAATTTGGAGTGCGTAGCTGGGTCCATACAATTAAGAGAGGCAAATGTTACTCACGGGGAAAGTCTAGCTTAGCTCAATATTCCCTCCCCGTTATCAATGTTGTAGACGACACAGAAACATGGCGCACGGGTAATTTTTTCTTTCTAGAATCTTTTTTAGATTTAATGTTTTATGGAGCGTTTGTCTAATACATCAAAAAAGAGTATCCATTGTAAAATTAATGCTGAAAGCTAAATTGTGGTTTTTATGTTGTAGACCGTGACTAGTTTGTTACTCAAGTATTGTTATTTTTTGGATGGCTTTGACCTAAATATGGCATATTATTTTATTCTCCAAAAGAGGAAAAAACAAGATGTTTTGTGAAATACTGATGGCCCAGTTTGTCAGCTTATGGCGAAGGTTGAAGTTCTCAAATGCAAGTCAAACTTCATTGTCAAAATGTCAAAATTGTTGGTATCTAAAGGAAGGTCTTTTCTTTAGGAATAAACCTGCGAAATATGAAAGCCCTAGTGCTAACTATTCGAAAGTAAGGGCCAAGGATAATTTTTTTTTTTAAAAAGTGGGTCAAACTCTAAGATCAAGGTCAACAATACTTATATCTATTGAAAGGTCTTGTCACAATGAATACACATATGAAGGATGAAAGCCCTAGCACAAACTGTTAAGAGTTATGGCGGAGGTTAAAGTTTCGTATTTTATTGTAAAAGTAGGTCAAACTTCAAGATCAAGAGGTTATATTTTGGTGGTACCCAAAGAAATGTCTATTCACAAGGAATACACCTGTGATATATGAAAGCCATATTCCCACTAACTTAGAACTTATGGGCTAGGTTAAAGTTGAGACAGACGGAAAAACAGACAAACAGACAGACAGGCAGGACAAAAACAATATACCCCTGGGATCTTTCTATCCAGGGGCATAAAAATAAAAAAAAAAGTTGGATTTATTATTTCACACTGACTTAAATGTTTTCTCATATTCTGAAAAAGAATGATTTTTCCGAAAGCTAAAGACAACACCATGCCTGGTGTTGCATTTTTAAACAATTTTCCTGACTTTTCAGTACATCCTAGGTCTCTGGGTGAAAAAAAAAGTTTTTCTTAATCTTGTGTTTTTTACCAGGTTTTTAAAACATAATCAGTTTGTTACAGGGGATACAGTAGCTCTGATGTCTACAGACTTTGACTGGAAACAGACGGAATTCGGCACAATAGTGGACTGTCCATCTTGCACCTCTAACCAAATTCAAGTTAACAGTAAGAGGGAATTTTGTTGTGTAGAATGTATGCATATGTCTCCAAATGAAGTTATCATTTAATACTAAATATTTATATTTTCGTGCAGTTGAGCCAGAATTCACTCATTTTGGTGAAATTTACAAGAACGTGGACATGCGCGGTGAGATTGCTTTAGTCAACCGAAACATATTAATCGAAGGAGGGCCTGCCGACAAGGATGAGAAGATTGGAGGACACGTAAAGGTCAGCGTATAAAACGATGTCTGTTAATTCTGACCTTTAGTAAATCCCTGTTACTGCATTCATCTAAAAGGCCATCATATTCTTCATGTCTAGCGAAAAGTGTTGCATATGATCGACTCCGTCCTGAAGCAACACAACTTTGAATTTTTTATATTTGCATTAGGGGTTCTTTGAATTCGAGTTCTAGTGTCATTTGATGCTGCTGTCTAATCTGTATAGCAGTGAAATCCCAAAATATGATTTAGTTAGTGTATATTAATTTTCTACTACTGAGTACTATGGTAACTTCTTTTGTAAACGTCTTCTATAAGATGACTTTGCTAATATTAATAACAAATGAAAGCAAGATGCATTATATTTAACTGTTATGAACTTTTTGGGGGTTTATCCATTTTCTGTTGTACTGTCTTAATATGCAATGAGATGCTTTGAGTTTTTTGAATAGCTTTGATTTTTTAATGCGCATAGGTTAAATTTTCATTTTTTTTTATTTGATGATGTAATTGGCTGTGTTTGACAGAGTTCTAAATATTTAATGCAGTTTATAAAAAAAAAATTAAGTCGTAAGCTTTATTCTGCGTATATATCATGAGTGTGTGTGCGAGTGAATAAAGTTATGCCCTTCGTTTATACTAAGAATTTAAGGGTTCTTTATGTTTACAGTTTTTGAAAGGATTCAAGACAGTACAGGTAAAGAACGTAGAGCTGAACCGGATGGGACAACAGACCTCCCTAGGTATACACATTTAAAAAAAAAAAACAGAATACATATATTTCTATACTAGGACAATTTTGTTATAACTTCCACTATACGAGGGTTGTCCAAAAAGTTCGTGGACAATGACGTTTTTGTTAAAATAAATGGTTCTATATGCATCTTTTGTATTTCAAAATATTTCTTATGAAAAACCAAGTTAGAATAATTTGATTTTCATCGATGAAACAATTTTTAAAAAAAAAAATGTGGTCTTTAAAGATCGCAGATTGTGCGCATGGACCAGTCTGACGTTAAGCTCATTTCTTTATAACGTCAAACATTTGAATTTTGACTTAACACACATTCATGGACACACACTACATTTCTTTTTTGAGGCGCAACACACTTTCAAGTGCTAGCAATAATTTTTAAGTAGTACATGTGTGTATACACAAACTGCACAGCCCAGTCTGACGCTGCGCTAGATTTATAACAACGTCATGAATAGAAACATGTGTTTTTAAATTCTTGTACATTTAGTGTCTTCGAATTTGTATTCACCGTTGAAAAATCGTATATACCAATCTCAAATCGATATACTAAATATATTATACTTAGAGTACGAGTTTCCTACAGTATCAGAGATACAGGGCGGGGCTTGAGGCGAGAGCGATAGCTCGAGCCGGGTCCTGCCCTGTATCTCTGATACAGAAGAAAACGAAGAAAACGAGCATTCTAAATGACCTTTCTTATGACCTAACTAATCTAAAAGGGTATTTGGCTACATATCTCTCAACCAATCGGATGATTTTGCAGAAAGTTGATTTAGTATCTCTTTTTAAGCATTCGCAACTGAAATTCATTCCGAATAATGTGGGCGTGCAGGTATGTATCATTTTAAAATATTTAGAATTATGAGATGCATTATATATTTTTTTGTTTTCCAAACATTTAATTAGGATTTTATTGGGTAGGGTTTATTTCCTCTATTCAGCTCTTGCTGATACTTTTTTTTTAATTCAAGCTACGATTTAATGCAAAACATTTTGATATATTATGAATCATGTGGATATATTTTTGAAAGAAAAATGCTTCTTGGAGATTGTATTCTGAAAGAAATGTCCTACAATTTCCTCCACCGGTCATCATACACAGAATTGAAATAGACAGATGGAATGAAAGGGGGGGTTTACCTTCATGATTTTAATAAAATGTAGAGTAACCAAAGGGGGATCCAACATTCACTGGTGCCCCCATCCCACCCTCTTTTGAGCTTTTTCGCTTTCGTAAATTATTTTTGCTAAACTTGTATATATACGCTTTTTAATTTATCGACAAGTAACGATAGATAACGCATATAGTATCTTGGTTGATTATAAAATTTAACCCCCACGAAATACGATTTCCCATTTTTTTTTGTGTGGGGGGGGGGGGGGGGTCAGAGTAATAATTTGTGAATTGCCCCACTCTCTCCTTTCCAAAATTTTTGAATCCGACACTAATAACTTAATAACTTTACGATGTTTAATTTTATTCTTAATTCACCTCAAATTTTGAGTAAATATCATTAGTGCTATATTGCGAATTGTGACATTACCCGGCGAGTTTGCCTTTGAAGTCAACCGTACTGTAACTGCGATACAGAACACTTTTTGTGGGCGTTTCTTATGCAAATGAGCAGAAACTGTACTGTATCTGCAAAATATCAACGATACAGTACGGTTTTTTTTTTAGCGATGACAAAGAGGTGTATCCGTATTCAGACAACAATCGTTCAGTTTGCGTTATAGCACTGATAATATTTACTCAAAATTTGAGGTGAATTAAGAATAAAAGTTTACATCGTAAAGTTATTAGTGTAGGATTAAAAAAATTTAGGAGGGAGAGAGAGTGGGGCAGTTCAAAAAAATACTTTTATCAAATTTTAACTATATTTACTATAGTTAACTACTATAGTACCAAAGTTATAACTTTGGAACTTTGATTTACTATGGTGAAAACTTTGGAACTTTGATTTACTATAGTAAAAACATTGGAACTTTGATTTACCATGGTGAAAACTTTGGAACTTTGATTTACTATGGTGAAAACTTTGGAACTTTGATTTACTATAGTAAAAACTTTGGAACTTTGATTTACTATGGTGAAAACTTTGGAACTTTGATTTACTATGGTGAAAACTTTGGAACTTTGATTTACTATGGTAAAAACTTTGGAACTTTGATTTACTATAGTAAAAACTTTGGAACTTTGACTTACTATAGAGAAAACTTTGGAACTTTAATTTTATTATAGAGAAAACTTTGGAACTTTGATTAAGCACTATAAACCCTTAAGATTATGGTTTTGCTTCCCATTCTGTACATTATATAAATTTCAAGTTTAAGATTCATTAAAGCTTCAGAATTTTTTTTTTTCAAAACCCAAATCGTCCCCCAAATATTACAAAGTACAAGAAATTGTTTTAAAGTAAATATAGTCTCTTTCACCGATAAATAAGCAGTATTTATTCAAATATATTTAATTTTAATTATAAATTATTATTAATATTAAAATATTTAAGTTGTTAAAGTAATTACAAAAAAAAAACATTGGAACTTTAATTTACTATTGTAAAAACTTTGAAACTTTGTTTAGCTATAGTAAAAAATTTGGAACTTTGAAAAACTATGGTATAAACTTTGGAACTTTGATTTACTGTCGTGAAACTTTAGAACTTTGATATACTATAGCGAAAACTTTGGAACTTTGATTAACTATGGCGAAAACCTTGGAAGTTTGATTTACTATGGTGAAAACTTTGGAACTTTGATTAACTATGGCGAAAACCTTGGAAGTTAGATTTACTATGGTGAAAACTTTGGAACTTTGATTTACTATGGTGAAAACTTTGGAACTTTGATTTACTATAGTAAAAACTTTGGAACTTTGATTTACATGGCGAAAACTTTTTGTGAACTTTGATTTACTATATAAAAACTTTGGAACTTTGATTTACTATGGTGAAAATATCAACTTTGATTTACTATGGTGAAAACTTTGGTTTGATTTTTACGACAAAAACTTTGGAAAGATTTACTATAGTGAAAACTTTGGAACTTTGATTTACTATGGTGAAAACTATGGAACTTTGCTTTACTATGGTGAAAACTTTGAAACTTTGAATTACTATGGTGAAAAATTTGGAACTTTACTATAGTTAACTGTAGTTAACTATAGTTTACTATAGTATTTTTTTGTTAGGGGCAGTTCACAAATGTCTACTTTGAACCCCCCGCCCCCCTCCAAAAAATAAAAAAATGGAAAATCGTATTTCGTGGTCGGGGGTGGTGTTTAGATTAATAATCAACCAGGACACTATATGCGTTATCTGTCATTATTTGTCGATGAATTAAAAAGCGCATATATACAAGTTTAGCAAAAAAAATTTACGAAAGCGAAAAAGAAAAAAAAAACTCAGGGTGGGATGGGGGCACCAGTGACTGTTGGATCCCCGTTTGGTTACTCTACATTTTATTAAAAACATGAAGGTAAAACCCCCCTTTCCTTCCATCTGTCTATTTCAATTTTGTATATGAAGACCGGTGCAGGACATTTTCAGAATACGATCTCCCCGAAGCATTTTTCTTTCAAAAATACTTCCACATGATTCATAATATATCAAAATGTTTTGTATTAAATCGAAGCTTGAATTAAAAAAAGTATCAGCAAGAGCTGAATAGAGAAAAAAAAACCCTGCCTAGGCAATCAAATCTAAATTAAATTTTTGGAAAACAAAAAAATATAATGCATCTCAAAATTCTAAATATTTTAAAATGATACATACCTGCATGTCCACATCACTCGGAATTTCAGTAGCGAATGCTTAAAAAGAGATACTAAATCAACTTTCTGCAAAATCATCCGATTGGTTGAGAGATATGTAGCCAAATACCCATTTAAATTATTGAGGTCATTAGAAAGGTCATGTCACAAGTCATTTAGAATACTCGTTTCCTATTGTATCGGAGATACAGGGCGGAGCCCGGCTCGAGCTATCGCTCTCACCTCAAACCCCGCCCTGTATCTTTGATACAGTAGGAAACTCGTACTCTAAATATAACTTGAACGATTGTTGTCTGAATACGGATACATCTCTCCGTCATCGCTAAAAATAAACCGTACTGTTTTGTTGACATTTTGCAGATACAGTACAGTTTCAGCTCATTTGCATAAAAAAAAAAAGTGTTTAAAACGGAGTGCAGTGCGCTTGACTTCAAAATATTTGTTACAAATTTCAATAATTTTGATTGTTTTAAATTTGTGACATAAAACTTATATTTTTGACCCGCTGCTCCGAGTTTTTTTGTCGAGTTTTTACTGTATTTGTTAAGGTTTTTGTTTAGCGTTTATATATATATGCAAAATTTACAAAAATGAGCTAAACATAGTTTCACTGTACTAGGTTTATCTGTAAAATATTTACGGACTGTAAACTATAGTAACAACGTTTATTTTTACAATGTAAACCATAGTTAAGCTGATAATCCGTATGTTTCACAACCGTAAACTATACTTAACACTGAAAACAATCATTTGCGATTGCAAAACATAGATTTTTTAATAAATACAGTTTCACATTTGTAAACTGATTTACAAACCTTTAACTATATTTAACGATCTTTATAGTTGTGTTGAAACATAAAAACTTTTATTAATTTTTGACTTGTTTTATATATCAAAAAATCTATTGTTAACGCTTATTACACTTTATACTCAGATTTGTCATTTTAAACTATAGTTAACAACCGTTAAATATAGTTTTACAGATGAAAACTATACTTAACGAATGTTAACAATATTTTACGGTTTGTAAACAATAAAAATTAAATCATTCTGAACCTGTTTTTTCATCAAATATTTTGATATACAACAGATTTATGTTTATCTCATTTTTGTGAATTTGGCGTGATATATATATAGTAAGTGATACTTAAGATATAACGAAAATGATTATAGCCTCTTTATTTGTGTTACATGAAACTATTATTAATTTTTGACTTGTTTTATATAGAAAATAGTCATTTTAATCCAAACACTTTATATTAGAGTTGAAATGCATTATGTCAAAATTTTTTCAACAATTTTCATTTTATCCTTGCGATTCGCTTTTGAAGTCTTAGAAAAGGTCTTATAAAAGTTGACATTTGTACCCTATAAAAGTTAAAAATTATAGAGAAATAAGTTCCATTAATAAAAATTAAATCATTCTGACTTGTTTATTCATAAGAAATATTTTGATATACAAAACAGATATTACATAAAAACCATGAACCATTTATTTTTTTACAAAATATATTTGTTGATCAATTGTTCATTGCTGAACTTTTTTTTCTGCAAAAATATTGAAGATTTGACAATTTTCCCTCCATAAAACTTTAATCTTTATTTAATAACAAAATTTCAAACTTTGTGGAGCAATTTTGTACTTAACTGCAATTTTATAAACCTTTTAAAAAAATTGAAAAAGATTAAGATTTTTAAAGAAGGCAGTACATGAAGAAAACGTAGATACAGAACCAATCAAGTCATATTACGCAAATACTGACAAAATTTTCAAATGATGGCATAGCGTGCGTTTTTGTCTCAGACAATTGGCATATTCTTTCAACAGGAAAATGGTCGTCTATAATGTTATAAATAATTGTTATCCAAAGATTAAGATTTTTAAAGAAGTCAGTAAATGAAAAAAAAAAACATAGGTACAGAACCAATCGAGTCATACAAAACAAGTAGTGACAACAATTTTCAAATGAATGCATAGCGTGTGTTAAATTTTGTTTCGTGTGTTCTAATTTTTTCCGTATTAATTTACGGACAATTGACATATACTTCTTGATAATGCTAAAAAAGTAACTATATTTAATTGGCATCGAAATATAAAACTTTTGAGGCTAATTATGTGCCTTTTTCAATCGGTAGGGAATTATCCTCTACATTTTCATATGTGCGAGGATGTAGATGACAGAACCAAGCCGTCACTTTTAAGCGGAAACAGTATTCACAATTCCTTCGCTCGTTGCATCACAGTTCATGGCAGTCATGGCGCTCAGGTAGATTTATTTTTATTTTGATGCTGCGAATTAAAAAATACTTTTAACATTGAATTTTTAAAGACAAATGGTAGAATTTGATTTTTTTGCCTCGGTTTTGGGATGAAAATTTTCAATGTAAAAAGTACAAATGTTTTATTACTCGTGATACAAAAAGACAAAGTAAATTCCAAAATAATTCTGAAATATATATCTGCTGTCTTCAATAACATTTTATGAACAGATAAGATTGACTTCTCTTTGCATATCTTTACTTGAAATTAAAGATTTATGCTTCAATAAAACCATTGGCTGCTGTATATGTGCTACATGCTATGTAAATATAAGTGGTACATTGTATAAATGCGTTTGATTACTTAGGTTAAAGATAACTTCTGCTTTAACACCATTGGTCATGGATACTTTTTGGAAGATGGAGGAGAGAAAAGGACTGTACTAGATGGTAATCTAGGAGCCGGACAAAAGAGAGGCAAACTCATCAAATCCGACATGTTAGTCTCCTAAGATCTTTGAATTCAATTTTTGAATGAACTTTATATCAAAGTCAGAAAATATAAACCTTTACTTGAAGAGATATCACATTCCTTTGGTTATAATAATATTTCTCCTCTTTTCTTGCTGTCATTTAGGAATCCAACAACATTTTGGATAACAAATCCGCAGACCTACGTCAGAAACAACGTGGCTGCAGGCGGAGATGTAAATTTTAATGATAAGTCATCGTAAAGCATGGAGTAAAATGACGTATAAATTATAGGTTTTATTTAAGTAGATTGATTGCATGTTGTTTAACGTCATTCTTGAGAGAATTTTTCACTCATAAGACTTACATATTCTAGCATCAGTTTAATATAAATTTCAAAGTGTATTGTGGACAAAAAGAATGAGTTTCCCAAAGTGATTTTGTTCAAAAGACCTAACACAAGATATGAACATTGCCGAGTTCCATTTTCTTGAAGGAACAGTTTTCTATGTTGTCAAAAACCAAGGTTTTTATTCATCTATAAAGTGAAAAAGAGCTATGCATTTTGCTTTTACTTATTTATGAAAACTATGTAGTTGTTTTAAGCTTTGGAGAAGTTTTTGCATACTCAGTTTACAAGAAAATTAGTTTAAACAATGCAGTATGGTTTCCATGATTTTGTTCAAAAGACCTAACACAAGATATGAACATTTTCTTTTCTTGAATTTTCTATGTTGAAAGGAATAAATCATGACTTAGAAAATTATGTAGTTGTTTTAAGCTTTGGAGAAGTTCAAAAATAAAGAAAATTAGTTTGAACAGTAATATAATATACAAGATAAAATTGTCAGATTCAAACTAAATCAAAGACAATATAAAATTATTATTATGTGTTTCATTGTCTTCAGGGACACGGATTCTGGTTTATCTACCCTGACTCACCCGTAGGTCCCTCAGCAGACCTTGGCTTCATGGACAAATTTGAAGCCATGCACACCGCCATATTTGAATTCGACAACAACGTTGCCCATTCCAACGGGAAGGTAATTTCAGAACATTAATTTATAACCCTTTTATATAAAATGTGTTAAATTCCAAACTACATAAAGAATCATACGAGCAAATATATGTGAAATATTAGAATTTATCATTTTTTGTTTTCTATTTTTCAATTGTTTTATATTTAACAGAGTGGTCTATTTGTTGATAATATCTTGCAATCTGACGGTAGCCTGAAATCAAGTAATATGTATGAACCCTGGAATGATCCAAAAGACTCAGAATCCGGGGCCAAAATGGTGACAATTAGAAAACTCACGGGTAGATATTGTATTTTTTCTTGAAATGTGTTATATGAAATTTTAGCAAACAACCCATATATCAAAATATTTATTAAAATCAACACTTTGGACATTAATGTTTGTTTTTCTTCAGCCTATAAGAACATGAAAGAAAATGCCTGGATAAATGGAGGATTATTTAAAGTCACCGAGTCTTCGTAAGTCTTGTGAATTTTATACATGTAATAAAGATTCAATTTGCAATTTTAAAAAAAACCCACAAATTACAAACACTGAGTAGTGTACAAAAGATTTATTTTTTTTCATTTGGTTAAACCAATTATTTATTTGCTTTTTTGCTCAGATTCTCTGATAGCGTAATTGGACTTACTTTCAAAAGGTACGCATGAACATATAACGTGGAACATTAATTCTATCAAACTAAAACTGCGTCAGGCATTCTATAACGTTTTTTTTCTGGAGATATACATGTAGTTATGAAGCAAAAGTACACAATATTCAATATACTTGCTGTTCCTTTTTATTTCTACAGAAGTTCTCCACAGAACCAGTACATTGACAAAAGCGTCTTTATTGGGGATTCCCCGAACGCTGGGTCCCCCACAGTGATATCCAGCGGAGGAACATCAAAAACCTACCCCAGATCTGTCCCATTAGCGTTTGCGTGAGTACATAAGTATAGCTTGCAACATACATCATATACATCATTTCCAAGCAAATCATTACCACTTTTAACTATAATTTAATGCATTGTTAACTGTTTTTATATTAGAGACCAACCTCGCCAAGGGTTTGTGTTTTATCATGGCCCAGTTTTTGTTGATGACACGTTTTTCGGGGATTTTGAGGACACGGATAATTATAGATCTGGTGCTCTTGGTTTCCAACGTGACAACGATGGTCATAGTTCACCAATTAGCGCTGTCAGCGGTATCAAGTTTGGCTTTTCAGATGTAAGATTTAATCCAGTACTAATTGGAGAAAAAGATAAGCCGTTGGTTTTAAAAGTTCTTTAATCTAAAAAAGGAACATATATAACGACATTACACTGTAAAATCCCTATCTGATTTTCAAATATAAAATGTTCAAATATTTTCTAAAGCCATCCGAGGGTAACCGAGTATTCGATGGGAACGCTACAGACAACGGCTTCTCTGGACTGGACGGTGATTTGATCGGTACCTTTCGGGATTCTGATGGATCTGTGTTTTCTGCCGGATCACAGATTGTTAAAGATCTTCCATTCCACTCGACCTCAAACTGTTACCAGAGGTCCAACTGGAAAATGATGGCGTGTACAAACACCTTCGGACAAGTAATAATCTTTAAATATCTGATTCAATATTACAGAAATACAGCAGTTAATTTACCTAGTTGAGTGGACAATGGGCACGTATGCTTTTTTTCAATTAACCTGACTTGTTTTACGGTTATTAATATGTGGATTGTATGAAGGAAGAATTACACATTATTTTTTAATCAGAAAGACGTTGCTATCAGTTTATTCTATCATAGGTACGTTTAACGTGGAATTCTAAAGCTACTGGAGTAGCTAAGGACGTTTCCATTTATCGAGACGACCTACCTGATAACCCAATTGAGTCAGACGCCAGGAAAAATGCTCCATTTATGGCCATTTTGGGAGAAGGTTATGGTTATTTAGCAAAATTAAACGGAAACATGCCGACTTCGGTTGCCTTTAAGGGACTTGGTTTCACTGAGTTAGTTTTTTTTAATGTGGATTATTATCATCATGATTTATAAATGTTTCATGAGATTTTTTTGTATGTTGGTTGTATTTTTTTCCATTCAATTGAGTTAACTTTTCAAAATATCTCATTTAAGAACTAAAACAGCACGGATCGGACTCTGTGTACCCAGGGATGCTACAATAAGTATAAGATTTCTAGACCTCAATTCAGCATCTGAAGGGAACAAATGGTCGCAAGGAGTGTCCTTGTCAACAATTAATGACCTTGTCTCTAGTACAAATGCTAAAAATTACTTCCTTGATTCAGATGTTGGGTAAGCAGTTCTGGGCACTTTGAAGCTCAATGCTTTTTTCTTTATGTCAAACAAACTAAGGTTTTTGTGTCTCAACACATACATTATTTCTGTGATTTCTTTTGTCAGGGTTATATTTTTCAATATGATGCATGAAAGGGAATACGACACCTCAGATGTGCAGGATTGCCTTGATGATCGATGCCCCACCGTGGTTGTGAAGATAACAGGAGGGGATTCTTCTGATTCGGACTGTACCTCCCGGGCGTTCGAGAAATACAAGCGAGAATCACGTGATTCTTCCCCCGTATGTATCATTTGTGTGACTTTCATTTTTACTCATAATTTCGTCAATTTTTTTTTTAGCATACAAGGTTTTGTCACAAGAACATATGTGGAAGTTAAATTACACAGCAAAATATATTAAACTTTGATGTTCCTTGGTACTAATATTTAGCTTGGGTAATTTTCTATCAAAGAAATGCGAATATTTGCCCACTTTTATTTTTCTTTGATTAAAGAAGAATTTTAATTTCTTCAATTACTTGATAAATCATGTTTCAAGTTAATTATACATAACTCTATACATACATATAAAACTCTCTCTCTATATATAAATCTTTACAATTCATTGCTGACTCTAAAAAGTTTTTATCCTTAAAAGATATTCTTAAAATAAAAAAAGTATATAATAAGTGGATTCTTTTATTTATTAAAAAGATAACAAAGAAATTTTGATTCCATTTTTTAAGGAGACCGAAATTACTGCCCTACCAACAAGTGATCTGTATCCCCCTACTGTAAGTACTGTTACTGAGTAAATAATAAAAATGTATTATAAAGAATGTGCTTAAAATATTCTTTGAAATGTTCATGCTTCTGTATTTTATTTTCTTCAAATAATTCCTCTGGCCTCTGGAAATAGATAAAGAATTCAATAAATATTTAAGGATTTTGAAATTTAACTCTTTTGTTTTTGTTTCAGTCCTGGGGAGCTGGCTCCTCACGTGACTAAAGGAAGATGCAACCTACCGTTATATATTATATTGAATGCTTTCTTATGCAATAAAAATAGAATTAATTAGAAAAGAATATTCTAGAAAAGTCTTATTTTTTACTCACAATTTGAAGAATTTTATGCCGTTGACACTTTTTGTTATTAAGTAGAAGCATTTTAAAAATCCTAATTAAATAAATAACTGTAAATGTATTTTATTTGGCGTGTACGATATTTGGCGGAAATTGGTTTTATAAGATGGAATAGATTAGATACTTAGGTAAGTTGAAATTAGCGCTTTCTGAATGTGCTTTAATAAGTGTATAATATAAACACGACATTTAGTAATATACTTGATTTAGCGGAAGATGATCTCCACAAAAGGTGCTAAATAGAATACACAACCAAATGTAATACGTTTACAGTAATTATGCATGTAAGCTTTTAAGACGAAAAAATCAGTCGTCAATTCAGTATATAAATAATGGACTAACAATTTGTATGAAAAACGTTAGTCATCATTTGACTCAATGATAAATTGTATTTTGACAAGGTCATTGTATCGACCATAAAACTTGCGAAAAGATGACTTTAAACGAGACTGCTGATATTCTCGTTTCATCAACTTGCTTGTGAATAATTTACCTCGTTTTAGAAATTGTTCATACGTAGAGCATGCTCTTGCGTATGGAATCAACTGAGATAAATAAGCAATGGTATAGCTCAAAAATATCAAAATAAAGAATCTAACATGTAAAAAGAAAATGCCAATGATCACCTGAATGTCGTACATGATTTATAACACAGTACAACAGAATAAAGTTGCTTTATAACATGTAAGAAGAAGAGGACATTGATGAAATTGATATTAGTAGAAGTAAAAAAAATCCCAAAATATTAGGATATGTATTTCTTATAAGTATCTATTTCTGTTCCAACACTAACTGGGGGACTTTGAAGTATTTCGTCATGAAATATTCCTTTGTAATAAATTTTCAATAGAATCTGAAAGATAGTTTTTGGAATAGTTCTGTTAGCAGTAAAAAAAAATTCCCCCGCGCTTGCGCTTAATTTCAGCTAATGTTTTAATGTTGTCGCACAGTATTCTTGAAGTTAATTTGTATGTGAATGAGGAGTAAAGAAAAAGACTTGGTTGAACATTTACTGGAACTCGCTATGTATCTCTTTTTGTAAGGATTTTTATAAAGTTTTGGAATCTGACATATGAACTTTTGAATTTCTTTCTTAGAAAGGGAACTAAGAGTATTAGTTGGATTACCACTTGTAGGATTGAATCCAAGTTCTTCTTAAATTCGTTTATATATATAATGAGCCTTAAAAATGAATTTATGTGTTGAAATAAAACAGAAATATGCTTCTTGGTATTAATCAAACAAGATAAGCAAGTGTGGCTTTTCCAAAATTGTGAAATGTGTGGATCCAGAGTCAGGGTTCCTGTGGAACGGGGTACAACTCATTATTGCTGAATTTTACTGATTAGTTGAAATGTTTATTTTTGTTCCACTGCAATGCCTCTTGGTATTAAGTAACCAAACTAAGCAGGTTATGTGTATAGTAATGACAAGCAATTGTGCCTCTTTCAAAATGTGAATGTCATGGTGTTTGGTTTAAAACCTGAACCAAATTCAATGGATTGGGAGTTGTTACATGATGCTCAGGTGACCTGTAAGGACCAATTTAAGAACCTCTTGTTAAGCATTCACATCTTATTTACAAAACGTCTCGAGTTACATTGTACAGTTCTCCATAAGTTTACATTTAATGGAATCTATTACATATACCTGGTACTTTTTGTGGAGATTCTTACATGAATATAGTTGTATGGTTCATAAATCCTCTGCTCACTCTTATAAAATGTTTCTTTAAATCTTATGTTTTACACTTCAACTTGACAAATCTATATAGAAATAATAGAAATTTATGACATTATTAGTTATCTCTCTTATCAGAGTATTGATGTACCTTAAGAAATCCAGTATAGATATGGTAATTAAAATTAATTTTGACTGTTGGGAATATTAAAATTATTTAAAACAGATACATGATTGTGAGGAATTCCTTCCACAGAAAGAAAGCGTTGAGTATATGTTTAATTACATTTTGTAGAATTAAATCCTAGATCATCTAAATTACAATTAAATTGATGAGCCTTAAAACAAAAACGCACATTTTCATCTGGACCAGTACATGCTGATCGTGTAATTTATCTTATTATTTTTTTTCTTTTCTGAATTATTGAACAAACAAGGATAAATGGTTTCCATTATATCCCTAAATGTCTTAAAGCTAAATTTTAACATATATACATTTAATATTTGATATTTTCAATCCATTCTCAAGCATCAATCTTTTCTATTTCTCTTTTTTCAATTCAGGTTTGCGTCTAGCGTACACTTCCACAGAATTCTCACTGTTCACGAAATTCTGGTCCGGATCTTTCCAATTAGTTCCTACAAAATAAAAACAAAAACACACACTTTACTAACAAACTTTGTTTCAAAGAAGCAGGGCCATTTTTTCTAGTTTAACCCCTTACTTTTTGTGTCGCCTGCTGAGCAGGTGGATATTTAGGGACCACTTTACCCGGCATCTATCTATCCGTCCGACTGTCTTACCTTGTATCTCAAGAACTGTGAGAGATAATGACTTGATATTTTGCACATTTATTGCTTGATACTATGGCATTTTTAAATACCATGGTTACCGACCTTAGTGATCCTTGACCTTATCCTTTGACCTACTTTACTATAAAGTTAAAAGCGCCAAAAATATCATATTTTTGATATGTAAGGGTAATTTTATGCTATTTAGCATGTGCACTGTTTGTCATAAAACATTATGAAAAATAACAGCGTTACAATTCACTTGACCTTTGACCTACTTTAAAAAGAATACCTTAGACAATTTAATTTCACTAAAGACTCTTGAATTTTGAGTGGCAGGTGTTGATTATTAACATTTATTCGTGTTTATGAGTTCATAATATTGTCGTTGAAACTGTATGATATTCAGTATCCACACAAACTGATCAGGATCCCAAAATGGATTGTGTAAAGTGGCTAGACTTTTTGTGTGAAATACGTACTGTATATCTAATACATGTAATAGCATATAAATAGCTGAGCACTCTAAGATTTAGTTACATCTTTAAAAAAGCTAAAAGCAGGCGACAGATGCGTTCCTTGCAACACTCTAGTATTCATTAGATATAGATAGAAATATGCAAAGCCCGTTTCATTGGGAAATGTTCTTAAATAATTAAGAAAAAATGATAATAATGATAAAAAAAATCATCAAAATGTTATTCTCCTTTAAATAATATTAAAACAAGTTAATATCATATCTTATCACTTCTACCTACCGTCACAACTAATCCTTAAATGTAAATATTCACTATAATCATGAAAACGCCGGCCATATAAATCAGTTTCCAAGTAATCCACATCCACCACGACAAAGTTTCCTCCGTGTCTGTAATTCCTATTGAATTATTTGTAATATATGATACCATGTTAAATTTCTGTGATGCATTGTACTCGAAAAAGTTTGTGATTCTTGAAAATTGTTTTTGATATTTAAAAATTTATTTAGATATCTGTAAAATGGACAAGCACTGCAAGTGTCATAATGAAAACATAATCAAACACCGAGCTCTCTGATATTTACCTTTCTAAATAAGTTGCCTCTTTCAGATAATTTCATTTAAACAAAAGTCATTTTAGTATTGAAAGAATTACATACAGGTAGGAGAATCCTAGATTATTTAAAAGTATTTTGCCTTCATCTCGACATATAATGAGTGAAAATTCTCGAATGGGATGTAAAACAATATATAATTAATCAATCAAATCAACATTAGTTATATTGACGACCTATTGTCAAAAACAATGATGATTTCCATTCTTATGTCGATATGATTTTTCCCGGTGGTCTTGACATACCGTAGAGCTTAACACATATGTCTCATATATTTACATTTTTTAAGAAAGGCGTTAATGGCACTAACAAATACTTCTTATGATAAACGTGATGACTTTAACTTTTCTATCGTCAACTTTCCTTACTTATGCAGCAATATACCATCATCATCTGCATGGGGGTTTATATCTCTGAGTTGATTCGATACGTGAAGTTACGCTCTACAAAAAATTACTAAAACGAGGTAAATTATTATAAAACAAGTCGCTAAAACAAGAATATCAGTCTATACTATGACCTTGTTAGAAAATATAATTTATCATAAAGTCAAATGCTGATTTTTTGCATACTAATTGTTAGGTCATATAAACATTGAATTGTCGACTGATTTTCCCCAGTTATGGCAAGGAGAGCACGGCAAAGGACCGGTCGGCAGGGGATTCTCACTGTTGCATGGCACCTTATCCCACCTCTGATGTTTTAGAGGTATGTGTTTGCTCTGCTTCAAATTTTTATTGTTTAGTAGACTTTTGAGCTGTTTGCTTGTTTGTATCTTGTTTTGCATCTCTCTCGAATTTTTTCAATCATATGCAGACGCCACCACCTAGCGGTGGAGAAATGGAAATTTTGTCCTATACTCTGCACATATGGTCATTAAACAGTAATTGATCATTTTCGTGCCAGTACCTACTGCGATACAGGACCTTGGTTTATACGGTCTCATCCGAAGGACCGGTCTCCACGCCCCACAGTAGATTCGAATCTGCGACGTAAGGATCAACTGCGTCCTTACTTCGGGACCCACGTGGACGACAGTACTGTTCGGTATCCCCAATTATTTCATTTCAAATATGTATGAGAAATTAATCAGAGGCAAATAATTCTATGTAAAAAACACAATAGTATAGATATTCTTTGTACCCTGGACAAATCTTTAAAAAAAATCTTTGGTGTTTCAAGTTATGAAATGTGGTATGTCTTGAATGATGATATAAGATTTATGTATAAAGATAAATTACTGTAAACGTAATTTCACTTAATTCCACTTTCTATTTTTTAAATAAATTTTGGCATGAAGTGATAGAGGTTTACAGTAGCTTCATAGTCGTTGGCAATTTTTAAAATGTATAACATGGACTGCTTTAA